TGCATTCAAATGGAAAATCTTTCCTTTCCTCCTTTGCTTTTCACTTCTCTTCTTTTCACAGCTATTTGTAAGGCCTCCTCAGACAACCATTTTGCCTTTTTGCATTTCTTTTTCACAGGGATGGTCTTGATCCCTGTCTCCTGTACAACGTCACGAACCTCTGTCCATAGTTCATCAGTCTCTCTGTCTGTCAGATCTAGTCCCTTAAATCTATTTCTCACTTCCACTGTATGAAAGTTCTGTAAATAAGGTCTTAATGACCCAGATAACCACGATGGTGTGATCACTCACCTAGAACCAGACATCCTGGAATGCAAAGTCAAGTGGGCCTTAGGAAGCATCACTATGAACAAATCTAGTGGAGGTGATGAATTCCAGTTGAGCTATTTCAAATGGTAAAAGAGGATGCTGTGAAAGTGCTGCACTCAATATGCCAACAAATTTGGAAAACTCAGCAGTGGCCACAGGACTAGAAAAGGTCAGTTTTCATTCCAATCCCAAAGAAAGGCAATGCCAAAGAATGCTCAAACTACCACACAATTGCACTTATCTCACACACTAGCAAGGTAAAACTCAAAATCTCTCAAGCTAGGCTTCAGCAATACGTGAACTGAGAACTCCAGATGTTCAAGCTGAGTTTCGAAGAGGCAGAGAAACCAGAGATCAAATTGCCAACATCTGCTGGATCATCGAAAAAGCAAGAGAGTTCTGCTTTATTGACTACACTACAGTCTTTGACTGTGTGGGCCACAAAAAACTGTGGAAAATCTGTAAAGAGATGAGAATACCAGGCCACCTGACCTGCCTCCTGAGAAACTGGTATGCAAGACAAGAAGCAACAGTTAGAACCAGACATGAAACAATGGACTGGGTCAAAATCGGGAAAGGAGTACAACAAGGCTGTATATTGTCACCCTGCTAATTTAACTTACATGCAGAGTACATCATGGAAAATGCTGGGCTGGATGAGTCACAACCTGGAATCAAGATTGCTGGGAGAAACATCAACAAGCTCAGATACACAGATGATATACCATTCTAACAGCAGAAAACATGAGGAACTAAAGCACCTGTTGATGAAGGTGAGTGAGGAGAGTGAAAAAGATGACTCGAAATCCAACATTCAAAAAACTAAGATTAAAAACATACACGTACCCCACTGCTCATTGCAGCGCTGTCTACAACAGCCAGAACATGGAAGTAACCTAGATGCCCATCGACAGATGAATGGATAAAGAAATTGTGGTGCATACACACAACGGAATACTACCCAGCCATAAAAAGGAACACATTTGAGTCAGTTCTGATGCAGGGGATGAACCTAGAACCTATTAAACAGGTGCAGTGAGTCAGAAAGAGAAAGATAAATATTGTACTCTAACACACATATACAGAATCTATAAAAATGGTTCTGAATGATTTATTTGCAGCGCAGCAACGGAGAAACAGCCATAGAGAATAGACTTATGGACATGGGGAGGGGGGAGGAGAGGGTGAGATGTGTGGAGAGAGTAATATGGAAACTTACATCACCATATGGAAAATAGAGAGCCAACGGGAATTTGCTGTCTGGCTCAGGAAGCTCAAACAGGGGCTGTGTGTCAACCTAGAGGGGTGGGGTGGGGAGGGAGATGGGAGGGAGGTTCAAAAGGGAGGGGATAGATGTATACCTATGGCTGATTCATGTTGAGGTTTGACAGAAAACAACAAAATTCTGTAAAGCAATCATTCTTCAATTAAAAAATAAATTAAAAGATAAAACTAAGATTATGGCATCCAGTCCCATCACTCCATGGCAAATAGAAGGGGAAAAAGTGGAAGCAGTGACAGATTTTATTTTCTTGGGCTCCAAAATCACTGTGGATGGTAACTGCAGTCATGAAATTAAAAGACGCTTATCCTTGGAAGGAAAGCTATGACAAACCTAGACAGTGTATTAAAAAGCAAAGACATCACTTTGCTGACAAAGGTCCATAGAGTCAAAGCTGTGGTTTTTCCAGTCGTCATGTACAGGATGCGAGAGTTGGACCATAAAGAAGTCTGAGCACCAAAGAATTGATGGTTTAAAACTGTGGTGTTGGAGAAGACTCTTGAGAGTCCCTTGGACAGCAAGGAGATCCAACCAGTCCGTCCCAAAGGAGATCAGTCCAGGGTGTTCATTGGAAGGACTGATGCTGAAGCTGAAGCTCCAATAATTTGGCCACCTGATGCAAAGAGCCAACTCCTTGGAAAAGACCCTGATGTTGGGAAAAATTGAGGGCAAGAGGAAAAGGGGACGACAGAGGATGAGATGGTCAGATGGCATCATCAACTCAATAGATATGAGTTTGAGCAAACTCTGGGAGATGGTGTAGGACAGGGCAGCCTGGTGTGCTGCAATCCATGGGGTTGAAAAAAGTTGGACTGACTTAGCAAATGAACAACAACGATGACCTCAGGGCTTCCCAGGTGGCTCAATGATAAAGAATCTGCCTGCCAGGCAGGAGATGTGGGTGGATCCCTGGGTCAGGAAGATCCTCTGGAGAAAGAAATGGCAACCCACTCCAGTATTCTTGCCTTGGGAAAGCCCATGAATAAGAGAAGCCTGGCGGGCTACTGTCTACGGGGTCGCAAGTTGGGCCACAACCTAGCGAGTGAACAAGTATGCCCTCAGTATTGCAGCTATTATGTGGAACATATTATAGTAAAAATTATTCTTTATCTGAAATTCCTGTTTTTCTGGGCATCCTGCATGTTCTTTGGCAGCCTTAACCCTCCTTGGTCTCTACCACAGCATCTCATTTTCTCATCTTGGTGGCAGTTGCTAGGATACAAAATTGCTGATTTGGTATCTGAATTTCCCTGAAGGCCCCCCAGCACAGGTACAGAGGTGGGGATGGGAGCTTTGGGGAAATGCAGGTCTGGCCTCCAGGTGTTGTCAGAGCCAGGCAGAGGTGCAAGTGACATCACCGTTGTCACATAACATACAACACTCTCTCTCCTTGGAAGAAAAGTCATGAGCAACCTAGACAGCATATTCAAAAGCAGAGACATTACTTTGCCAACAAAGGTCCAACTAGTCAAAGCTATGGTTTTTCCAGTGGTCATGTATGGATGTGAGAGTCGAACCATAAAGAAAGCTGAGAGCCGAAGAATGGATGCTTTGACCTGTGATGTTGGAGAAGACTCTTGAGAGTCCCTTGGACTGCAAGGAGATCCAACCAGTCCATCCTAAAGGAGATCAGTCCTGGGTGTTCATTGGAAGGACTGATGCTGAAGCTGAAACTCCAATACTTTGGCCACCTGATACGAAGAGCTGACTCATTGGAAAAGACCCTGATGCTGGGAGGGATTGGGGG